CACCTCTGTAATCGCTATCACCAAATTCATTCACATCACCAGGCCCTCTGTGTCCATCTTCATCTCGTATCCACCGGTAATCCTTGAAATATTACCTCAGAAGGTCAGAAATCATGTACATCAAAAACTACACTAATTTGGTAATGCTATGAAAACCTGAAGAAAACGATGCTCAGAACATGACCAGAATGATATAACTGATAAGGAAGTTGATTATCCCTGATTGACCCTCATCAAAAAACTATACAGATTGTGAATTTTGACTCAGCAGCATAACCAATTAAAAAATGTTTAATTGAAATAATATATAATTATACCTTATCAGCTGAATCCCCTCCTCGATTCCTATAATCCTTATCCCCTGTTCCATCACTTGGTGAGCTACTGCCGTACCCATAATATTCTTCATTCGCATCAACCGTTGGAGAGGCGATTGTTGTGATCCCAGGTTTCGCACGCTGTTTTACGCCAGTCATCCAGGAACTCAACATGCTGCCTTCAGCACCTCTTGCATTCTAAATTTTGCATCTTTCAGATTGTAAACAGTAGTACCAATCCCATTTCCAAAAGTACTACATTTCAAAGTCTGAGCTTAAAACATCTTCATGACATTTGCTGGCAGAAGAAGTATCCTGAGACTCAAATTCATACAATTATATATATAGGGATAGAGATGGCATATGAATTCTAAATATTACTGTCAATAAAAGTTCCTAATATATCAATTTCCGAACTGTAGGTCTGAAAAATGATTTTCAAGCTGACCCCGCCCTCTCAGTACATACCCAAATGGCTCCAAAAGGGCACACGAGCGAGCTAAAGGCTCCTGAGTCATCCATACTAAATCCAAGACGCTCACTGCAGAAGTCAAACCACTTATTCCAAATTGGAAGGGATAGGGACGGTATATGGGTTCTAAACATCAGACACTGTCAAAAAAAGTTCCTAATTAAGTCGAAGCGTGGGACACGCAAAATGAATCTAAGTTTGAATATCTTTACAGGAAGTTATGTTACTGATCAGAAAAATGTCTTCATAAAAACTATGGTAATTGTAATTTTGTGGTCAATTTTTGGAAGCCCGCAAGGACACTGGACCAACTGTAAAATACACTGTAATGTATTTGTTGCGTTTGCATGCATTCTCCACCATCTTCTTGTTTTTCAGATATCTCCAGTCATCAATCATCATCATTTTTCCTTTTTTCACCAGTTATTTTATTATTGTTCGTTCATATGTCTGTTTTTGCATGTTGAATGATTTTTTATGCGTACCGCTACTTCTCTGTCGAAATCACGCGGTTTACGTAAAGGCGGCTGATTCAAAGATATATTCGGAGATACAGCTTGCGCTGCTTCTCGATTTTCCGTTGTTTCACGATCGCGTCCTGAACAAAATTCACATAAATCTCATGTCGAAACTGCTCTGGATGAAAGTATGATTGATCAGACGATAAATTACAAACGAAACAGGCAGAATATTATACCATTCACTAAGACATTCAGATAACTTCTAAAAGATCAGCAAGAACAACCTTCAGCATCTTCGTCGTCACAGATTTCACCCTCTTCTGGTAGCTCACCATCTTCTACTTCCACTTCTGCAATGCTTTTGTTTTCCAGTTCAACGTCTTCCCTTACTGCTCCCGAAAATTCGTATTCTTCTAATGAGCTTGCCATAGCAACATCGACCATCGTTAACGCATCACTTTCTTCTGTTAAATAATGAATCGTCAAATCCAAATAGCAAATATACCATCCAAAAACGCGTAAGGAAACGAGTAGGACATGCAGTGGAAATAGACACTATGGCTTCGTTTAGGATTTCGATTAAATTATTTTAATAGATCCCTCTGTTTCAAATTGAAGATTGTGCTTACTTAACATCACATAAAAATGACCAACTGAAATAATTCCTGAGGTTACCAAAAGATTTACGCTATCTTCAAAATTATGTTGTATAAATGAGTCTCTCGTTTACAATCCACAATAGTGGTTCTTTACGTTAGAATGGCTTGAAATTACCAAAGTACTCACATATAATAATGGTTGACTCATGATTATGGGGTGGAAACTCACAGTAAGAATACACATTGTTATGGAAGAACAATGTCTAAAATCATTTCCCAAAAGTTCCAAGTAAAATTAAGGAACCATTGCACAAAATGAAATCCATTTCCTCAACGAACAAGAGATTGATGAGTGACAACAAAAAAAAGTGCTACGTTCAGTTTGCTGAGCCCCATGCCAGATTATGTCATGTACACTTCACTCTCATTTGTTCAGCAAGCAGTTCAGGAAGGAAACCTTACGTATTCTATCTCAGCTTGATTAAATTAAGCAGACAACTGTTTCTTCTTCCTTTTCAAAAACTGGCATTCACTTTCCCCAATCAAATAACCATAAATTCTGAACAAAGAATAACGTCAAAAGTAAAGAATAGCACATATTTGGCTTCAAAAAGTGTTCAAATAAGAAACGTCATACAAAAACGATTTATCAGGTTCTTGACGATAACAGCACTCTGTCTATTACTTTCTTACAACTGCCCTTAATTCGAGTCTTTCAAAAAGACAACCGGTCTTCCGCGACACTTGTGGGCATGACTCACAGGAAATTTACTTTACTGTCTCAAAAAAAGGATTCGGAGCAATTATTTTTTCCAAAAAATTCACATGACCAGAATCAGCATTTCTACACAATAATCCAGAACAACCGTGATTTCATCAGAACGACGAAAGAAGCGCTTTGAGAAGCGAAGATATAACGGGGTAATTTCGCTGAAATTGCATACTTTTAGTGAAATTTTGGCAGTTTATTCAACGACGTGAAGTGAAGCGGTGTTGGCCATAAAAGAAAATTAAATCATCTGGTGGTGTCTAACATTATTCCCACGGCTGCAAATCCACTATTCATACAGGTGTCAACAATAGTGAGTCGGAAGTAGAATGAAGACCTTAAATTAGCAGAAAAGCAAGAAACTTAGTTGCTGAATCTTTCATTTCAACAGTTAAGGGAACAAGAAAGTGTCACGACGATGAAATCATAACTCCAATTATACCCATAACCGGTCGCATATCCTTTGAAAAACATGTAATCAAATCGACTAAAGCCTCAACCTGTGGAATGTTTCATGCACCAAAGCCGAAGTGCTTCAAGTCTTCTATGAAATTCTGGATATCTCTATTTCTAAATCCCAGTTCGCCATACCTCTGCGTAATCCTAAAGTGCCAACAAAAATGATATCAATTAACTTTAGCAGTATTGTAATATTTCCACTTCCTGTTTTGTTCTAAAATCAATAACATTCGCCATAATTTATTAATCGCTGAACGAACAGAATGTCTTTCCAATCAGTTCATACAAATATTAGAATTCTACTTTTAAATAAATGTAAATGTGATATAAGCTTTGATAATCTATGATGACCTTACGACTCTCAAATGACCAATTCAAAAATGAGCGTAGACTACCTTCGGAAACGGAGTAAGATTTCGGAAACGAAAACTAAATTATAAAAAACATGCTCCTAATTAAATAGCACACCTGAAAGCTGTTCGACCTGTTCTAACAGATTCATTAACATCTTCACAAAAAAAAAAAAATTTGCGATACTTTTTTCGATGCTATGAACTTGCGCAACATTAAAAAGATGCTTATTTTAATTGGAGAATTTATTGCTTCCTCTGAATTATCACTTAAACAGTTCCATTTTACAAGCCTTAAAGTCCTGGCAGCTAAAGTCTCCTTTCCACCTCACAGCAACATCCTCCGAACTTAAGTGTTGCCAGCATCTTTCCTTCCAGAAGGTTTGGCGACGAGGTACTCGTGAAAACTGCACCAACAATTTAGATTAAGATGTGAGCAGAGACGTTAAATTTCACTTCATAAGCTACCTTCGGTATCTAGGAACCACTCATTCCGTGTTCACGGACTTCGTTGGCTTTTTTTCGGAAGAAATTGTGATTAAAAATGTGTTTTGAATTCTTTTGAAAACTTTCCGATCTGCACCACTGCGACACGTACTATGCAAGATGACTTTATGGTTAGGCTACATTCCAGTCACTACTCGAATTATGGGCATAAGCAGTGGGAAGAAAGAGGACACTACTAAGACCTCGACGGATGATGCTAATGGTGTTTTAAAACCCCAGAAAGGAGAGTCGAGCGAGTGAATACGACGTAGCACGACAAAAAAGTGAACTGATAGTGCCCTTGCCAGCTATCACCCCACAAAATTGCAGGAGTTGACGGATATATCAGTAGTATATCAGTGGTGTGCTTCTCAACATGTGATGTTCAAGGATGTATTCAACAGCAGCCCTGTCTGCACTGACCATGTCGTCGTATCTTTACATTCATCGTTGGCAAATGTTTTAATGAAGATCAGAAACAATTACCAATGGGATATCAAATGCCTGAGAACTGCAACATTGCCATCTGCCACTCTTAACACAATTCCATCCTCTACATCTAGTAAATGCACAAACCGTACAGTGTTTCTGGTCAACAAGCTTACATGCAACACTTGATAGGTCTTGACAGAAGCCGCGCCCACAAGTTCAAGTTCCGCCCTCCTCCCCACAATATGCATCCTGCACCTGCATAGTTGACGTGATGCCTATGTATATAAGTAATAGTAGGATGAGTGCGCAGCTTATTGTAAATTACTTTACAATTTTACTTCTCTAGAGAGATTTAAGCATCTCTTCCAACCTGTCAAAGCTACAAAAATGTACAGAGCACAACTTTCGAATGAAAAGCAATAAAATCAACTTGCAGATGACACTCATTTTTCAAATATAAATAACTCCAATCCAAGTTTCCTGAACAGCTATGAAGTTTTGATACTTGTAAAAGCAATCTTCTTTTCTGCATAGCAAACATAAACACTGCGGTTGTAAACACAGATGGCTAGTAAGGGAAAAGAGATTAGGTTTTTGCGTGACCAGCTCGTACCACTTGCCGAGGAAAGACTCTTATTAGTATCACACGTACAAATCAACGCATAACTTTTGTATCACCTTCAACCTCCAGCGTACACACATCCAGGCTGCGGTCTTTATAGCGTCGCATCGTCAGCACGGCAATGGCACACCGGCACCAACATAACACTCTGCCACTCTTCCCTTCCTCCCTATCCGCCTTATACAATCTATTAGGACTACCTTACTCTTTGCACCCTCCTGATCTCCGTCTCCTCTCTCCCGCCACTTATTGCTAGAGTACCTCGGCTCTCACCTATAAATGCTATCTCCATCTTCCACAATTTTGCAGGATTGATCGATTTCCTTCCGCCCTACATCCCCACACCACATATCGTCCATCATTTCTCCCGTTGTCTGGCAAACCAACCCACTCTGCTCTAGTGCTGATATTATCTTCATTCCCGAATCATTTCAACATCCGTATTATTAGCCAATTCGGTTAACATTCTCACATGTGTGTCTATGTGTAGATGTATGTGTGTGTGTCTGTGTGTGTGTACATGTGTGCGTGTGTACTTGAAATGACAATGGACACATTGTGACGAGATGTATAGGGAATTTTGTCCGCCGCTGGATGGATGGTGGCAAACAGTACGAACGGCAAGACGTACTGGTCACGCCGGCGGGGAATGACCATTTGAACACATTCCATGTTCACCTTCCAATCCTGTCCCTTCCCTCTCCTTTCCCCACCTTCCACGACTACTGGTAAGTAGCGGTTGCCAGTTCTTGAATATGTTAACAGTGATTCTTCTATTTGTTGTGAAAATTCCGGGAGGGATTTGTGTTACTTATGGAACCCGTTACTACAGAACAAAATCAAGCCAAAACTTAATTGCAAATCCAGTTTTATGACCTTACAGATCCAAGGTTTCGTTGCTATACGCTTCCCATAAAAAAGGTGCCTGCCCCCAGATCCATGTAATGACATTGCTTCCATTTGCTATTCCTATCATTAAACTGTTGGCGATCTTGTTCATGGAGGTCAAAACCAAATCCGATATCCCTTCAGACTTTTGGAACTTGTCTCCGTGTCTTATTCAAATTATTACTTTCTCTTTAAAAACTTAAAGATAGGGAAGATGTAGTTCGCTCTCTATAATTTTCCGTCTTCACTTTCTTTTCATTCCTGCTTGTCTTTGTTTTACTTTTCCTAATTGTCACTTTTCAGGTAATGTTTTGAAAAGATAAATTCCCAATAATTTTGTGAAATAAATTAGCAGCAATAACCAAAACTACCCTTCACTAGAGGAAAAACACGCCTCTCGGTAGACGAGACTATTCTTATTTTCAAAACTACCATGAAAGACTGATGTCGGTCTCTTCTGCATAAAATTGATTTTATAAATTGTTGGAAATTCATTCAAGCAATGTCAGTTTTTATGAAAATTTGTTGAAAGGGACTGTCGTTGAAGTTAATGACGCAGGTACTTTCAGTCGCTGATGCTTCCAGTACAATTTACGATAGAAGAGTGGTGAACTAGTAAGTAAAAAAGTTATTCTAATAGACCGCTTCTGCGATGAGACTTGCACACATGCATACGCGACTCGCACAAAGAGACCACAAATACACAACACACTTGCAGTGGGAAAACCGCGGTGTACGAGTGGCAAACTTTCTATACGCCCACTCTGTCTTGCCTATCGTCGTACCAACACATACACAGTTGCTGTTGCAGCACATGCGCGTGACGCATTTCAACTGCACTCGCAGCATTACGAAGAAGTCCTCACCCTTTAAATCCTGCATTCTCTTCCGCCCACCTGCCCATCTTTTTTCGTACACATCGCTTTTTTATTGTTAGCAGCGAGCCATGGGAAGCATAATCCAGCTCAATCATGAACCGAAATTTGCTTGTGGATCCCAGAAATAATACATATTCAGGGTATCACAGTGATTGATGTCTCATCTATTACTTCCTCATACACAGGTATAACCAGTCATTCCAATTACTAGGGACTAGTGTGTCCTTTGCTATCAAATAAAGTCGAAGTTTCGTAGTTCGTGAACAGTCAACTTGAAGGAGAAAGACAACAATATACCTCAGTAACTGATAGGACCACCCGTAAAAATTAGCAGGAAGGACTTTGCTTCTTTCATGTAACTCTGGTGATCCCCACTGAAAATCCAGATGTACAAAGACGACGAAGCAACCAGACAAAGGGAAAAAGAAGATCGTATTAGTGGTGCAAAGGTGGCACCAAAAACAAATCTCACACAAAGCAAATGTAATAGGTGAACAGCCAACTTGTACCTAATATATGGCCTTTACGTAGTTCTATTCCATATATATATATATGGCATTTAGCTTGGGAAGATACATAGGGAATTTTATAGGTTTTCATTCACAGACCCACATGAGTAACAATTAAGCGATGCCAAGTCCAGTAATCAGCCGCATGTGTATTATGTACAAAAAAAGCAGTATTTCCGTTTTGCGAACATATACATAGATGGTGAATAGTATATATTTACCTGCAGGCTGTACTTGATAAACGTTTCGTTTTTTATGCTGATTTGTAAGGATGTCCCTTGAAGGTGGTAGCAGCAAAGCTGTATTCACAGCACAATCCTTTATTGGTTTTTTGTGTAATGCATGCCTTCTCCAACCATTAATTACCCCATTAATACATCTACATTTAAACAATCTATCATCATTTCGGGATGAATGATCAAAACACTAAAAATGCGAATTTGCAAAAAGAAACATCCGCGGTGACAGTGTCATCGAGTGTCCTGCATATGAAGCTGTATTTGTCCAGCACATGAAGCCCAATTAAAAGTTTAGCTACTCATCAAGGCCCTTGTCCGCTCATCTGCAAAGAGACATACCCCATCAATGAAATATATCTTTCTAGATATCTCAGAAAAGAAGCGGGAAGGTCAAAGTATGTCCCACACACACATCCCAACAATGATTCAAGGAAAGTGTTGCTCGATACAATATGATAAAGCGGGGACCGTTACTGCTATACACACACACAAACATACACATACGCATACATACATGCACATACGTAAGCACAGACGCACACAGATACACATAGACAGATCGATCGCCTAGGCCGGACGCCAATAAACATAACGTCGCTGTGTAATCTTCAACAGACAACTGCCCGTCGCTTCTCTTCCCGTTGCACATTACACTCCCCGATCAATAACCTTCTGCCCACCCACATTCACTCTTATAACAATCAGAGATGACTCCTGGCTCTTCGCCAACTTCTATGACGAACACATCAATTTTAAACGTTGGCTATGGTTGTTAGGCAGGCAGAAGAGGGAGGGACGTTCACGTTGTATTATCACGTGGTTTAGATTTACAGGACGGTGTGAAGTTGGGTAATGGAGTGTTGACCAGAGGGGTATGTGTAATGGAATCATTCCGAAAATATTCTTACTTGCTCACGTCGTTTTCGATAGATTTCTAGTCGATATCCTCATTTATGGCATTTTTCAGTAAAGGGACGGTATTTCAGATGATACGTGGCAGTGGAGCTGTGATATTCATTTCTTCGCTATACAGTGGTAGAAGCATCTGATTGGTAATTCTTGGTACTCTTTGCATAGCGGTTGCTATGATTAATGTTGCTGTTTTGGTCATAACATTGACAGTAACTATTTTACTTGTATTGTTTTAAGTTTTTTGACAGTGACCATTGCCACACTAGCTGTTCGCAGTGACGAAATTCCAACTGCATTCAAACAATTTCTGAAAAACATAATTACCCTATAACAACAGTCTTTGATTATTTTGTGAGCATTCTCTCCCATATTTCACCATTTGAACTCTTATCTCAAGCTTCCTAATGATTTAATTATTCTGCTGATTTTTGTGATCTTACATAATCGTATCCTTTACTGCGTATCATATTTAGTTACGATGTTACTCAATGAAGAAGCTGAAATCCTTTCCAGATTAGACGGTAGGTTGCTTCCGTATAATTATCTTTCCGATGTATCGAAAATCATATTTCTAAAAACATTCCATCGGTGTTATGGTGACATATGCATTAAATTTCGTAAGTTGATTTCATTTTCAAGAGGTCTGTAAATCCGGATAGTGATAGAGAGAGTTTTGTTGTGCATGCTGTAAAATATGAATAACGTGGAAAATTGTAATGTACTTCTCTTTGTTGTATTTTTGGTTACTTTTTATTGTATTTTACTTTTTTCAATGTTAATATACAGTCAGGAAAACCAGCATTAACGTTTGAGAAATAAGAGAACACCAGTAGGACTTATTTCTCGGAATTTAAATGACGAAAGTGACGTATCTGGTGAGGAAAATGATTCAAATGTTGTTCATCCATTTTATAAATTTTGAAACCCAGATCTTGTAGATTAATCAGAAAATAGAGTATGAGGAGACTTCTGGAAAGAAACGTTAACTTTTTTGTTACAGCAAAAACTACTTGGGAATATACAGCATCAACGAACGATTATCAAACGAAGTAGTAGTGAAATAATCTGCCAGAATTTGTTCCTGGCTCTTTCGTTCGTCATACTGGTAATTTGCCTTTTGGAGATATGAAATGAAGCGCAGAGGATGAAGGCTAACCCTTGTAGCGAATCATGCAGAATTAGTGTTTTTAGACTAGCTTATTTGATATTATAAATTTCATTTTCCAGTTGCGTTTCTTTGAAAGTAGTCGACAAGCTTAGCGTTTCTGTAATATCAGTATTTCGATGATATCTGCCGCGTACTTTGTGGTGTAGCCGAATATGATTGCCAATATGCATGCCAGCAGTTCTTTGTTTGTTGTTTTTGTTTTGTGTGCTACGGATTCCTCGTAGGAGCTCCACCGGTAACTTTTTTCCGTTGAGATTTGCCGGTTCCATATTTTTGTTATTTTCTAAGCAAACATTTACTGCTTTGTTTACAGAACTTTTTTTTTTCCCTTGACATAGGAAAAATCATTTTAGTGAGTCGACTATTTATATGAATGAATCCAGTACTACTGCTACTGTTTTCGTTATTTGGAGCAGTCATAATTACGGCTTTATTAGGATTTTCTAAAACTGTATTGACTGCTTACATCTTTTCTCGCATATCAGGGTATTTTCATGGTACAATATTTAGAGATGTGTACTGCACTGTTTTCATTTTGTAAGTAATATCGAATCATACTCTATAAGTGACACTGGCCCAGCTTGAAAATTAAACCTTATTTATGACTTTAAACTTTCATGGTGCATTTTCATTGACTCTTCCGGTGGCTTGATAATTTTGTGTGGGAGTGACACGAACAGTATTTACTGTGCATATATTCTTTGCAGGTAGAATATTTCTAATATTTCTAACTGCCAAGTACTTCCATTCTTTCTGGTGCTGCTGTCTCGTATTCACATTTCAGTAAACTTCCAAATAACCGTAATGTGTTCAATCGTTTACTTATAAAGCGGAAAATGAACTTATTACCAATACATTCTAGTGATGATATATTCGTCAAATCCAGTGCTGTGAAGGAATCGACTGCTTCAAAATCTTTGGTGCAATTTTTTTTTTAATGAGGATTTTTGATATGATTAATTACATAGCTGAGCGTAAAAATTGAACGGATGATTTTTCTAGAGACGCAGTCCTCATTCAAAAGATGGGATTAGGTAGTTCCGAAATTCATATTTTTTCATGGAAATTTCAGAAGATGTTGATTCTTTTCCTGGATTTGCTTGAAAAAGGGCAAGGGGTTAGAAGATTCTATATAACTAAGTGGTGTTTGTTTATGAGTTTACTGTGTTTTAATTCATGATTCCCTAGTTTTTTTTTTTTTTTTTTTCTGGTTTTTAGTATTTATTTAAGACCTGACCATGTTGTTGGGACTGAGTCAATCGCGGAACCTAAAACTCAAGAAAATATACGAAAACGAAAAGAGGTTGTAGAACGTATAAAATGAAAAGAAGGACAGAGTTTGGTCACAGACGCTTCTTTACATGATAGCTGGTAAGTTTGTTGCAAAACCCAAAGTCCTTATTAGGATTTGCAGCTGGTTTTGCAAAGAGCTAAAGCAGCGTTTTGCCAAATTTTATTTCTTAAGATTTTTCCCGGAACGAGAAATTAATTTCACCAGTGGAGATATAATAACTGATTCACAACAAAAGATTTCCTGTTAGTGGCAGAGCGTTGTAATCCTGCAAACATAGAGTGCACTTCACAGCTTTTTATGGTATAATAAACTGTGAATGAAATCAGTGTTTAGGCATTCCAGCGTTGGAGAATATGCAGAGAATCAAAACAACTTTACACGCGTTTTAATTCTGCGTGTTCAACATTTCCTCATGTGGAAAAAAGTAGCAAAGGAACTCTGAAAAGTATGGTTGAAACCGAAATGGTAGCCACTAGTTCCTCTCCGTCTCATTTATTGATATAATGGAACAACATTACTGCTAATTTTATTTTTAATTGTGTATTGTGTTCATTTTCGAAGTTGAACTGGAATACTGGTACCATAATACGCAACAATTCCTGAATAATGAACGACTTAGAGCAGAAAGTAGGCTCGTTTTTGTTAGCTTTCATTTCATATTTATTGGGAGGAATCCTTTATGTTTTGTTTTGTTTTGTTTTTTTTTTCAGTTTGGTTTATTTCAAAAATTTCATATCGTTTATGTAGTGGCAACATTTTTGGGTCTGTTTTATTTGTTATGCTTTGTTACAGCACTGTATAATGGCAGTTATATCATGGTATGCCGTTTGTGGATCGTAGAGGTTATGTTAGCCTTCTGGAAGTTTTATAATGGCTTTTACTGGTGCTTATCATGAATTTTATCTGGTTTATCTAGTAGCATGAGCTAGGAATATAATCTTCCCCTATAAGAACTTGTTATAGAGGATTTATCAAAAACATGTGTTTAACTGAATTGTCTGCTAAAAGAAGAGAGAGGAAGAAAGCGATTATCTGCAAGGCTTGGAATTGTCATATATCTATGCAGAACAATATCCAAGAGGAAATTGCATCTTCTGCTTATAACTTTGAAGATGTGTTTTATATGCAACATTTATATATTCCCTAACTCCAGGTAACTCCGAAATTCATTTACAGATTGGAAGAAAATGACAGTTTCATGGCGTGTCTGTTCAATCTCTTTTTTTTTTTTTTTTTTCTTTTTTGTTGTTTACGGTGGTATCGGGTTCGCCGTTGAAGGAAGCCTGACTTCCTATGTTTTATTCAGACCGGAACTAAGTCTTTCTCAACGAAATGTGCTTTTCTTTACATCCATTTTCTGGCTTGGCAGAAAATGGATGTAAAGGTTCCAGCAAGACTGCTGTTCATACTTGCTTCAGTTTTAAGGCTTATGTTTTGATGAATTATATTTTGTAGCTCCGGGTTGGTATAATGTCTTCAATCATTTTCTCAATTTTATGAAATTTTTATTGTATTTCTGATGACCAACTTGGATTCATTAACATTAGTAGCTTATCAAATTTCGTACTTTTCGCTGCAGCTGTTGCTGGTTATATTGCTGTAAGTGCACGTTCACTTTTCACTATATTTTGCACAGTTTATTTTTACGTTAGTTTTGTTCCAAAACTTCTATGTTGGCTGAATCTATTTTTTTTACCATTTTTTATCATCAAAAATTGGAAACTAATAATGTATATTCTTAAACGATGTACATATTTAACTTTATAGGCTTATATTTGGGACCGTTGTCGCCTTCCCTGTTTTGTTGGCTAGATAGACAAGTGGTTGAAGTGTGGAAATTAGCGTCAGAACACACGGATAAACCAAACTACGAAAAGGCAAATATGCAATCTTGATGGACAAAAGTGATGGCAGATTTGATGTTTCTACGGAATTTGTTTCTGTGATGAAATAAATTTGTGTGTTGCAGGTTGTTCCATATGTTTTTGACTATTTGATTTCATTAGGAATCACTTGCTCGTGAGTTACAAACTGTGTATTGGTGGTTCTACCTGTGAAGTTAAACTGGATTTAGTAACATTTATTTACTTCTTCGTTAATTCTATAAAATTTGACTGTTTTGTACCCATGTCATGTCTTCCACATATTTATTTAGCTGTTGTGCTAATGCTTACGTAGATTTTCATAAATAAAATTAAGTTATTGGAGGGTAGGCGATAGTATATGTTGAGAAAAATGTTTGTAGTAAGTATATTTAAAAATGCAAACATCAGTGGATTCAAATGACTTCGCGAAATGTCGTTGAAATGGTCGGAGAGCTGCTCATAATATACGACAAGAGGATATGATTTAATCAATGGAAGGGGTTTACTATTTTCAGCAGAGGACATTACGTTTGGATGGGACCCTTTCTGCTATGCAAGTATTTCGTTTATAACTTCTCATTAGTTAGTCACAGTGGGACGTCTTCTATAGGAATTTGAAGGCGGGATTGAGCGAATGATAATATAGCAAGATCGAAAGGGTAGGAATACCCGAAATCGACCTTTTTTTCCACTACTCCGCTTAATTCACATATACTATTTTTAATTCGGAGGCTATGGACTTTTCTAACAATCAGTACTATTGCTTCAACAGTGGTGAAACCAACTATGGAAGAATTTTAGGTAGAACCGATAAACTGCCTCATCGGTAAAGCAAATTATTCAGATCCGTCTACATTTTTTTGACCGATTTACTTAAAAAGAGAAAACATTTTTGCACTAGCACCCTCCACCAAACTGCTAACATTCGTAACTGCTTGAGTAGCGTTATCAATAAGTGCATGGTTGCTGATCGATGTATTTGCATGTCCGGATGCATTATCATTTAATGCGCAGTTTGCCTCTTCAATTTGTAGTCTTCTCATTATCGACTGGTATGTTTTGTTGTTGAGTCGTTCATCATCAACACCTTGTAATTCCGAATCGGAATATATTTTCTAGAAATTAAAATGCGTAGTAATGAGCTTCATTTGCCAGTGTTTTCTTTTAACAGTCGTATGCCGAAGGTAAAAAAAAAAAAAAAAATCGTTCATTCCTTGCGAAAATAGTGTAGTGTTCCAAGTTTAACTCTTAGTCAGGTAAGAGAAAAAAAATCGGAAACTAGTATCTATTTTTCAACCAAATTTACCTTGACCATGAAAGAAAGACACGTCAGTTGATATTGAGAAAGGGATTGCTGAAGCCTCTCCGTCAGCCAGTCATTAACCATTTTCATTTGGTCTTCGTACCAGTGCTAAAAAAAAATCATGTTCCAACAACATCATATTGAGGAAATTTCTTGTCAATTTAACAACCGATAGATTAGTAGAACTATGACGCTCTTTCTGCCTTTATTATAATTTGAAAAGATTTTCTAATAAGGACGAAGCTACTTGCTCAAACTAGGGTCTATAAAGTATTTCCAAGTTTTACACCCAAATTGTTTGTAACGATCTAACCTCAAACAACGCGTTGACCCACAGCTCGTCGACCACAACCTGCCTCAATTGTTCCGTGCAAATCCGCATGAAAGTTACGTAAGAATGTCCATGATGACCTGAATTCTGAGGTTGACTTACAATCGGTTTCTGAAAAAAATCTTTTGCACTTATCTTCACATTCATGTATTTCGTAGACCTGTAAAATATTTCACAAAAATACCGGGTTCTGTGGCGATGATGTAGCGCTACCCGTTAAGTTCCCAACAATTCCTTGTTCACCAACTATATTTTTCATCTTGTTGAAAATAGTTGTCGGTCTCGGCTAAAATAACTCCTAGATTTACAAAATTTCTCAAAGAAGCTTTAATAAAATTAAATCGCTAAAACATACTGCTATTGACAAAATCGCGCCGATCGGATTTCCCTCGTCGTAACGGGCTAGTCGAGACAAAACATATTCCAAAACCGACAATAACTGAAGCAATCAACTACAGTCTAGTTATTTAAACTTCTATCTGTTTGTAGTATTGAATTTTAAGAAAACACTCAGTGTGTCAAAACCCTATCTTAGTTGAGATCTGCATCCAGTCAATTACATCAGTTATGAATATGTGTGTGCTCAAAATATTATTCACCAAGTTGTTTCGTAATCTAGTTGACGGTTTGGTTGTTAATGATTATTCTCTGCACTCACGAAATTTAGCAAATACTTAACGTCATAAGTCAAGACTGAACCTTATCTTCAATGCATGTTTCCATATCTTTGAGCATAGTATCCAGAGTTTCATCCAGTTTCGAGTGGTATTTATACTAAAAGTGAAAACATGATAAAAGTCAAAATAACTGCAGATTTGTTATTAAAGTACAGAACAAAAGATGAGTAAAAAATTTACTGAAAACTGAACTTTCAACGTCTCTTATATATATATATGACGAATAATACGAATTAGTCTTCTCATCTGTCCGACCTATTACCTAATTTGCTTTGCTTCCTTAGCTGAAAAGTTTATACACCACTTTCCTAAGCAGAGGATGATGAGCTAATATGTGATTTCTAACGTCGGGCTTATAAAAGTAACAGAAATAGCTGTTGCCAACTCTGTTGGCTGAACAACATGCCAGCTTCGACTTCAAGAGACGGTTTCAACTTGTTTGCTGATTAAAATAGATACACATACTTCCCCTGAATCTATTGCAATTTTTGCTGCTCGAGATTTCGATGAGAAGATTACGTTGATCATGACGCACACTTCCGAAGGCAGAATATAATCCGTTGATTTTCGTGCACGCTGCATGTACGAATCGAAACACTGGTAAGTACTAAAACAATCCAGATTAATACAGTAAAAAGCAATAAAAGTATATGAGAACCATGTTGCGGACTTCTGTCCAGCTTCAAACATACCAATTTGTACATTTGTTAATCATTTCGCTCGTTAAGGCTTTCATTCTAATTTGTAGATATTTCGAAAACTCTTCCTCTGGCCAATTCAAATCATGTATGAAAATTTGCAAAGCATCTAGCTTCCAGTAAGTATCTTCAGATGTTGCACAACCATCTCTGTAAAATTTTCGAACATATCAAATGATTTGCAAATAATTGGTAGATGGAAAACCACATCAAGAAATTCAATAGATATCTAAAGTTATATCAATTAAAATCAAAACATGCATCTGCTCTAACAAAAAACTAGAAGCTCACTTGTGTACTTCCCATCTTTCTCGTGCGAAGCCCCTCTCGATAGATTGCACTATTGACTGTTCCATCAGGTCAACATAACGTACTACTTTAGTTGAGAATTGCTGGATCAATTTTGTGTGAAAAATTCCATTCTTGAGATGAGCTATAAACAAAAAAAGTATAAAAAATACGAAAGAGATTTTCACATATGCTTTTTTTGGAGGGTTATGAACAGTGCTTAGTCGATATATTACCCAAACATGTTTTTGCGTAGTTGCATAAAAAAAATTTGTCTTTTCAACTTTCTTCAGTTCACATGTTAACTACGATCCTATGATATGTGATGTATTGCTATATTTTGATTTAACGTAAATCTTTGTTGATAACCTAAATAGATACAAGACTCAGAAACAGTTTTGTGTTCAACATTACGCATAGAAAATACTATGCGTAAGTATTAGTATTAGAAAATACTAATATCAGTGGAACTGTAAACTTTAAAAAAGGAAAAGGAGAAACACGAAAAGACAAAATTTGCTCTGTGAATCCTTCTGAACAACACCTGAACAAAACACTCTAGTCCACACACGGATTTCAGTAGTGAATCCACGCATTCAATTATGAAAGATTTAATATTCCTACCATGCCTTATAATAATGTAAGAAAATCATTTAAAAGAAAATTATTGCAACTTACAGTTATTACTCAAAAAATCATTCAGTAGCTGAAATAATGGAAATGAATCCCACGAATCTGGTGGTTGTACATTTAATGCTGCATCCAAATCTACCGAATAAAGTGACCAAAATATTTCTGAATGATCAGCAAGAAGGTCACTGAACCAAGTGAATGCCTGTACGCAAATTACGTACTTTCAAAAATTTGTACAAACGCTACAGTAATCTGGAAAAAAAAAGTTTTTTTTCAACCAAATAAAAAACATACATCACCATGATGTTCCTCGTTTTCTCGTAATAAATCAATGCAGAATTCCGTTACCCGCATCATGTCTTCAATCCTTTGCTGAGGACTAACATCCATGCCCATATGCTCTAAAATCCATCACAGTTGCGATCGCACGAAAACACAAGCAGTAAGGTTAGCAACAATTTAGATTCTGTATACACTGAAGTTTTTTCAATCCTGAATTTGTGCAATAAAAGTGCTACAACTGTCTGCATATAACAAAAATAGCTTACCAATAAATCATAGATATTTTCTAGCATTTCTAAATCTTTATAATTTCTATATCTAACAAGCAATTCAATGATACGTTGCAAGAATGAACGATTCCAAAAGACAATAAAATCCAACGAAGAAAGCGTAATTTATTACAGAAAAAGAGAAAACTCTCTAACCAAAGCTGGCATCCACACTTTCAACAAGAATGCTGAATTTGGGAAATATTCTCCCTTGTAAAATTTTGTGTTAATGACCAAAGCATGCACATGAAAACAGCACTGCATGCACAACGCATAACTTTTGTTGGAGGGATCTTGACATAAAACCTAACGTTCAAGCTTCGCTTCATTGCAGATTCGGGTATAATTGACTAATGCTGCATCTTGAAGGCATTTCCGGATGACATTGCGAACTTCTTCTGGAGGCACTGGTGAAACAACGTCTTTCATTAGAACCTATGCAACAACTTATAGTTGCTATGAAACAATGA